TTATTGTAAAGAGTAAAAACCAAAGGCTTGAAATACGAAGTTTTTTTTTTCTTTTTGATTTTCACGGTGATAGACTTAATTTCTTGAATAAAAATAACTCATTAACAAACATGCTTTTGTCAATTTGAAATGGCGAAAAATAAAAAACTAAAATTAAAAAATTGCCAACAATATATGCCCAGTTTAGTTTATTTTTCATACTCGCCACATTTTAAATGAGAAAAAAAAAAAATCAGATGACCAAGTTCAGTGTATCGAAGTTGTTGAGTTTTTCAACTTGTGACCACCAATAATTTAGCACATGATCATCAATTTGTGGAATGGGGAATGAATAATATAATATCAAGATAATTTTAGACAAATATGGATGGCCAAAAGTTTATTCATTATTTTAATCGCTTTTTCAGGATATGACTCTGATCTCTCTCTGAATTTGAATAAATTATGATAATTAATAACATTTTAAAATTAAAATTCTCTAATAAACAACTAATTAGAGAGAGAAAAAGAAAATAGAAAACCAATTTAATGAATCAAAATATTTGTCAGTCCTAAAATTATGTGAAAATATATTTTAAACACAAATAAATTATGAAATTAGCATAGTTCCTAAAAATAAGTTAAAAGAATTAAGCTCAGCGATTTGGTCCCCAAACTTTTTTCTAGTTTGTATCAATTGATAATAATCTAGTCCCTGAATTAATAATTTAATTCTATAGTTTAAAATTTATATAATTTAGTAGGTAAAAAATCTCATCGAAATTAAGGGTAGGTTTTATTTATCAATATAATGATTTAATAATTGTAATTTATAAACATATTTGATATCTATTATCGATCTACATATATAATAAACTAAAAAAAGTTTACAATAGAGACTAAATCGTTACAAATCTTACACTACAGTGACTACACACTAAAATTCAGAGACTAAATTGTTACCAATTTAAGAGTATATAAATTAAATCGTTACCAACTAAAGTTGAGGGACTAAATCGTTAAGTTATGTTTTTTAACAAATAGTCGAAAAAATCATAACTTTGATAGAAAGGTCAAAGATTCGAATCTTTATCCCAAATAGTTAAAAGGAAAAGGCTAATAAAATTTGATCTTAAAAAATATAAATAAAGTCAACACACCTATACACTCAAGAAATTGTCTCATCGAATTACAAAGAAGCAAATATATAGCACAAATCTCCTAATAAATAAATATTAAAAAGGAAGTAATTTTGTTATTTATTTTAATTGTAAGTTTAATACGATGAAAAAAAATTTTAAATTCCTCTGCAAAAAAATATTTTTTTAATTAAATATTGACTTATTCGATTAATTAGATATTAAAAAAATTGAAAGATATTCAATATTAATATTCTACGATAATATATGACATAAGTGGTAAATAAAATTAGATAAATAATTGGTTAAAAAACACTTTTGTTCCATCTAGTTGGATTTAAATAACGATTTAGTCCCTCAAATCTAATTTACAATGATTTAGTTCCTCTATTTTTAAATTGATAATAATTTAATATCTGAATTTTATTGTGTAATAATTTAATTATTGTAATTTAAAGTTTGTAACGATTTAGTTCGTTCGTGAAATTTTTTATTAAGTTTCTTGTATATGTAAATCGGTAAATTATGAGGAACTAAATATGTCAATAAATTACAAATTCTAAATCATTATATGATAAAGCGACGATTAATTTTGTTGAATTTTTTATCGTTGAAACTAAATTGTTACAAATTTTATATTATATGTACTGTATTGTTACTGCTGCATTTTGGAGACTAAATTATTACTAATTTTAAAATACATTAATTAAATTATTACTTTAGCATAACTATGTAGGCTAAACATTGGGCATTTGGTCTAGTGGTATGATTCTCGCTTAGGGTGCGAGAGGTCCTGAGTTTAATTTTCGGAATGCCCCACCTTTTATTTAACCTATCCTTGGTGAAAAAACAAAACAAAAAACTACAAGCACTAGACTAAATAAATTTTTTAACTAAAAATATGAAATATTTTTAAAAGAAAGAAAACAATGGAACTAATGTGGGGCCCACTAGAAATTCATTGACAAGAAATGGTGGGTCCTGCGGGTTCGATCAAACCGTTAGGCATGCTCCCATGTGAATGTTTCAACTTTCAAGTGGGCCCGACACGTGTTTGACGTTGTCACACGTGGCATGTAATTATTGGATATTCAGAGGCACACGTGGCTTCTTCTTCTAGAAGTCCAAGTTTACTCGCCTCGGTCATGACTTCTCCTGCCGAGCCAACCTTCTTCAACGGCTGAGCCGACCAAAAAGTCCCAATTTATATTTCCAGATAGTTGATGAATCATCTGCTTCCACTTTGGCTCAATCCATTCTTCGACAGATTCCGCAACACCACGTCGTGTTTCGTGGTTATCTTAAAGAGTCATTGAGGCTTTGTTGGGAATGTTGTCGGAGACTTTGCCTATAAATAGAACTATTCCGCTTCACTTTGAGGTACGCGAACATCCAATTTTCTCTCTTGAGTTAATTTGGACATTTACTAACTTTGACATTTGAGTGGTCACTCTGTTTTGCAGGTCTTCCTCGTGGTCTTCGAAGTTTACTTTCCAACTTATCCTATCGATCCGACGTTCTTAATCATTTTTCTGATCAAACATATCGGAATGTTATAAAAATTTTCCATATTGTTAATATTTTTTGGACATTTCTTTTTTTTTAATAGATGATATAATTATTTTTGTACGACGATAAATAGCTACATCAAACCACTCAAAATAAATGCAAGTCGGACTTTTATGTAACATTGAAATCATTTAAAAGAAAAAAGCTACTACATAGTGATTCGTCAGAACATAACACATCAAATTTTAGCTTTACCCAATAATTGCACAAAAAAAAAATTATATTGATATTTTTGTGGTGAATGAAATCATAAAAAACATTTTCTTTTAGTTGGGTGGCATGTGGCATTGATTGTATCTTAATATATATATGTATTTAATTTAAATGTCGATAATTTTGTTTCTTCAGCTAGCAATTGGAGAAGGTAGAGATTAAAATGAGCTATGTTTAAATTGACGGGTGAACTTAGCTCGTAAAAGTTAAGTGAATATTTAATTTCCATAAAAAGTTTTATATATAATTACCGTTACATTGTTTAAAATTAAATATGTTGTCAAATAGGAACTTTTTTATAATAGGTTGATGAATAATTGGGTGAAAATTTTATATGCTTGAGAGTAAAAGAAAAAGTTAACTGTTAAAAAAGGTCATTAAATTAGTTAAGTTTAATGTACTTGCTATTTTACTTGTTTCATTTTGATTTATAAAGTTTTACCACTCTCAACTTCAATCTCTTATCTAATAATCTTTTTGGATCGATTGCTTAATTTATTAAAATTCTAACTTTAGTTCATCGATTTTCATTAAATAATAAATTTAACCTCTACTATTRAAATAATAATTTGAGTATGATACACACAACTATTTGATCAAACTTTTCAGTAGTTTATAATCAAAATTTTACGATACTAATTAAACTAAGATTAATGAATTAAGGTAGGGATACTAAAATCGAGTTTTAAAGTATTGGAGGGCCAAAATAAAAAGTGGAAAAAGTTCCGGGACAAACTTTAAAAATGATAAGTTTTGAAGTTTAAAGAGTTCAAATAATATTTTAACTATTAATTAATAACATAATTTGGTACCATATGAATCATAAATATATAAAATAGTTAGATCGGGATATAATTTGATTAACTTTATATTATTTCAATTATATCCACATGTATATTTGTAGCATTAGTATAGGATAATTAAGACTGATATGACTTGTTGGATAAATTAATTACGACATAATAACATCCAAAATGAGTATAGCTAGCGGTCATATTGTACAAGAAAAAAAGTTACAATATAATGACAATGCTAATTTTATATTTAAGATACTTAATAAATTCAAATATATATAGATAAAATTAAAATATTTTATTTAAGTATTTGACCTTTAGGTAGATATTTCTTAGGGTTCTCCACTAAATTTGTCATTTTGCATTTAATAAAAATATTTTAGGACATAAATGTAGATTTATGTTCGGTATGATATCAGAGTTTTATTAAATATTAACACATGGAATTTTAAATGAATACTTAATCAATTGGACAATTCCACATGACGAACATCTCATAGTTAGATTGAGTTTACAATTTACATATATTTTATACATAATTTAAATGTGATCAAATAATCCCACTATGATATATATACTGATTTGGCTATTGAATATAGTTCAGTGATAATTGACATATATGTCTTAAACTAAAATGTCGTGAGTTTAATCTCCACCTTACATATTATACTAAAAAAAATAATGGTTTGGCTTTTTGGTCATTAAATTGTAAAAAAAAAAAACCAGTGGAAATAAAGGTTTTTAAAATCTATAACAATTTATTTTCACATTTTAAATTGAAAGAAAAATAGTTTTGTATATAAATATCTTTTATGCGATAARTATATAAAAAAAATGAAATTTTTTTAAAAGAAGTAAAAAAGTTTATTAATAAATAAACTCAAATTGTTTTAGATATTTGAAGAGTGTAAATCTATCTAATTCTAACAAAAAAGAAAAAGAATATAATATTAATAAATAAACTCAAGTTATTTAAGATTTGAAGAATGTATTGACCACCAAATCTCTTGATTCTATCCAAGTTAAATCATAAATTTAGTCCTCATCGTTGGAGTACAATTTTAATTTAATTTATATCATTAAAAAATTTAATCCTTATGATTGAAGTCAAATATGTGATATATTTTCCAATAAGAAAATTTGCAGGTTGATAGAAAACGGTTTAGGGACACGTTGTGAAGTTTTAGGAATTAGAGTAAATTATTAAATTCGAAAATAGAACCAAAATTTGTAATATAACTATTATTATTATTTTTCACATATATATATTTAAATCCAAACTTAATAGTTAATCCTCACATTTTTATCAAAATTGCATTTTCCTACAACATTATTACGATTTACGAAAGCCTATTTGCTTCATACGGCGAGAAGAGAATTTGAAGAGGGAGAGAGAGGAGGTCTTCTGCTAGACGGTGGTGGCTGCCATGGAAGGTTCCTCCAAGGTTTTTTAATATTCAAGCGAAAGAGAGACATAACCAGAAGCAAAATTCGTTGAAGATTATGGAACACACACAAAAACGTAGATTATAACTTCTTCGCATAATATATATGTTTTTATATATATATATGTAACGAGTATGACATTTTGCAGCAAGGTTTCGTGGAAGCTTTGTCTTATGCTGAGAATAAATTTTATCCCTACGTTATCGCTTCCGATCATCTCCGCTTATTTCCTTCCGTTGTTAGTCATTTGCTTCAACCCTAGAGTTTAGGCCCTTTTGGTTTTGATTCGTCACTTTCCGCTGGTTCGTTCCTTTTTCCGCGTCGCTTTTTGTTTGCCTTCGTCCGAGGAAGTTTGGGACGGAAATCAAGATATATTCGCCGAAAATTTTGGTTTTCGCGTTGGATTTTGTGGGTGGTGGGTTGGGTCGGCGATGAAGTAGGGTTTTACCGGGACATACTTTGGAATCGGGCCGATTTTGCAAGTTCTTTCGTGGTGGGTAGTTGCTGGGGTTGGGATCATAGATTGAAAGCTGGTGTACGGCTGGCGGTGAGCTTTAGAATTTACTTGTTTTGAAGGTCACCGAACACTGCAGACGATATTAATTGTTTAGGGATTATAGATCAAGCTACTTTAGGAGTGAAGTGGTGATTGCAGATTTGGGATCTTAGTAGGGGGTTAAGGTCTAATGCTGGAATTTCAAAGTCTAGCAGAAAGGGCGGAACGTAATCTGGACGAACTGTTGATTTTGACTTTCCTTGCGGTGTCTTAGCCATAGACTACGGATTGGTCTTCCCGTATTCATCACTTTTCGGGATTGATTCTTCTTTTTCGTGAAAAAGGGGTCTAATTTGGCTGTGTAATCTTGTTGGCTGGGAACCTCTGGTCGATATTATTATTCATTGTGTATAAGATGAGCTCAAGCGTGACAGAAGCTATCCCTAATGGCGGCAAGTTACTGGTTCATATTTCTGAGAATGGGCGCTCATTCGAGCTTGACTGCAATGAGGGTATGCTAGTTGAGGATGTCATGCGCTTGATTGAATCGGTCACCCGGATTAACTGCAATGATCAGGTTATTCTCTCTTTGGATGTTAGACTGGAATCACAGAGACCCCTTTCAGCTTACAAGCTTCCAGCGGACGATCGGGAAGTTTTCTTGTTTGATCGAACCCGGCTACAAAGCAATTCACCCCCACCTCCGCCGGAGCAGGTTGATATTCTTGAGGTTGTTGAACCACCATCACCTTCCTCTTCTCAAGATTCTCATCCTTTAGATAATGCCTCAGACCCTGCTTTGAAGGCTTTGCCTTCTTATGAGCGGGAGTTTCGTTACCACTATCACAAGGCTCATACAATATTCAGTAGTACGGTGATGAAATTGGATAACTGCGAGAGACTTTTGAGGGAGCAGAAGGTTCAAGAGAGAGCGTTAGAGGTTGCAAGGGGTAATTTGGATCAGTACTATAAAATGATTAATCAGAACTACACAGATTTCATGAAGCGTTATTTGCAGCAGTACCGAGTTCATTCTGATCTGTTAGTGAATTGGCGTAGAGATATTGAGAAATTGAGATTGGTTAAGCTTCATCCTGCCTTACAAACAGCCAGCTGCAAGTGCTTACTGGATTTTGTGAAGGAGGATAGTTTGCAGAAGTCAGCAGAAAATTGCGGCAGTTCGCACACCCAGTTTGAGAACAAAGTTTTACAATTTAAGCTGATGTTTAACGATGTTAAGCGTAAAGTTGAGGATTTATTTTCCAGCAGGACCTCTTTTCCTGTAAAAAGTTTGGAAGCTAATATTAAGGAGCATCAGCGGTTTATCAATGAACAAAAAAGTATAATGCAGTCCTTGAGGTTAGATTCTGTTTACTTTTGCAATAGCTCAAGCATCAGACCTGCTTTACTACTACCATCTGGTTTTGTCTTGGGGGTGTGAATTCCTCCTCTCAAATAAAAAAATTCACGTTTTTGTTTTTCCTTTAATCCTCACTTTGTGTATTCAAAACCTATTTTCTCACTTTTTATTGTCTCAATACGTGCTAGATTGCTGTGGTACTAACTGAATATGTGCGAGTTTACATGTCTATTACACAGTAGTTATTAACTGTTGAAGTGTGTTCATAATGACTCTAAAATTTTGTTTGTGCATAATAATGCAGCAAAGACGTTGATACTGTAAAGAAACTGGTGGATGATTGCGTATCTTGTCAGTTATCTTCCTCACTTCGCCCTCATGATGCAGTCTCAGCCCTAGGTCCTATGTATGATGTCCATGCCAAAAATCACCTGCCAAGAATGCAAGCTTGTGATCGTGCAGTTTCCAAGCTACTTGATTTTTGTAAGGATAAAAAGATTCAAATGAACAACTTCTTGCACCATTACATGCAAAAGATTGCTTATTTCTCTTACATCATCAAGGATGTCAAATTACAGTTTCCTGTTTTTAAAGAGGCAATGGGGCGTCAAGATAACCTGTTTATGGACCTGAAGTTAGTGCGAGGGATTGGTCCAGCCTATAGAGCTTGCCTTTCTGAAGTTGTGAGAAGGAAAGCTTGCATGAAGCTTTACATGGGTATGGCTGGTCAAATGGCTGAAAGGCTTGCAAGAAAGAGGGAAGATGAGGTTAGAAGACGTGAGGAGTTTGTGACAGAACATGGTTCATACCTTCCTAGGGATGTAATAGAATCTATGGGATTAAATGATATTCCTAACCCGTGTGATGTCCATATAACTCCTTATGATGACCGTTTAATTGACGTTGATATTTCAGACATTGATCATTATGCTCCTGAGTACTTGTTAGGACTCCCTTCAAAGAGTGAGAAGCAAGGAATCAAGAATTCCTCTCTAAACTTGGTTGGAACTTCGAGTTCAGTTGAGGCTGAAGAGATTTCAAAGGACACCTTTGAGAGTTATGATTCCGAGGAGCTTGTCGAAGGTTCTGAGTTAGTTGAAATTGCTGGAACCAGCAAGATGGAGGTTGAAAATGCAAAATTGAAAGCTGATCTTGCTTCTGCTTTGGCTATGATTTGTTCATTCTCTCTTGAATATGATTCATTGGGTGATAGCAAACCAGACAGTATCTTAAAGAATGCTGCTGAAAAAACAGCTGAAGCCTTGCGTCTTAAGGATGAATATGGAAGACGACTTCAATTTATGCTTAAAACTAAGCAGATGCAGTGTGAATCATATGAAAGACGCATTAAGGAATTGGAACAAAGACTGTCAGATCAGTATTTGCAAGGGAAAAATCTCTCAAATAGTGATTTTGCAGTTTTGGCTGAAAAGAGTGACAATTGCAAGCCACAAATCGTAGGTGGTCCAGAAGCTCCTGCACCTTATATATCAACTACAGAGCCAATGGATGAGGTTTCTTGCATCTCAAATTCCCTGGATACAAAGCTGGGGATTTTTGCTGGACAGCCTGGTAGAGCTGCAGAAGCAGTTGATGAAAATATGATGGATTCCCGTGGTGATCAGAATCCTCATTTGGATTCCTCAATGATGGAGCAAAATCGTGAAGAATTTCAAGAAAACGATAAATATGTGAGAGATAGAATGGTAGGACATATGGGAATATCTCTGACAAACAGTTCTACAGCTGAGAGCATGCCTCGGTCTCTGAATGTTTTACCGTGTGAAACAGTGGAGGATCCCAGTTTGGAATCTAATCTTGAGAATGGTCTTCTGTTGGAGTTGCAAAATGAACTTGCAGACAAGACTACTCTGTTGAGTGAAACTGAAACCAAACTTAAAGGTGCTATGGAGGAGGTTGCTGTACTGAAGAGGGAGTTGGAAGCCAGTAGGAAGCTTCTTGATGAATCTCAGGTACTATTTGATTGTTCTTTTTTTTCCGTTGAAGATTTTCCTCCCATGAAACTTTGTTTATAACTTAACCAATGCTTTGACAGCCTTCCCTTCCTTTCCTTTCCTTTCCATTTTTTACCGTTTTGGTGACTTGTAGCTTTCTCTTATATGTTTCTCACTATTATCCATCCTACATCCTTTCCTTTTTATATGCACGGATCCTTTAGCCTTTTGTGTTGATGTGATTGAGTACGATTTACATGAACAATATATGAAAAGCCACTGATGGGGGTTATTAGAAAAATATGATGATAGGTTAGAACGTCTTTTACTAATTTCTTTTAGGGATTCTTTTAACCATATTAAATTAGCAGTATTATAGAGGTTGTCTATGTTTTGTGACCAAAATCTAGCTTTCTTGGGGACATTTATTAGAAGCATTTTGTTTGAGTCTAGGTATAATTTTTTATGATAATGGATATGCTTTACTACACTCTCTTTCCTGGGGTGAGGATAAATGTTAGCGGAGTTGTCTGTTTAGTCAATTCGTTTGGCAGCTGGAAGCCATGGGAAAAATGGTGGTTTTTCTGATAGTATTTTGATTCTTTGAACTAAAACGGTTATGAATGGGTCATTCAGATAAAGATGCTAGCTTCTTAAATGAGGATACAATGGAAGATTCCAATCTTGATAGTGAGGATTCTGATTTTGGATGTGAATCTCATTCTGATTTTGATAGTGAGTTATCTGATTAATCACTATCGCTAGCTGAGGCGAGGTGTGCCAAAATGTGCATTAGTTCTTGTCGAGGTGAGATAACTTCAGTTAAATGAGTGTCCTGAACTATCTCCACTCTTAAATTGCATGGAACTTGAGGAAAGAGCTTCACTACTGCCTCCTTTAAGAATTGCAAATGATTGGATAAACCCATATTGTTGGAGGTTTCTGAGAGAACTTGCTTTGTTTTGGCACTAAACCATTTGTCGCAAGTATGAGACTGAAAATTGTGGTTCACAAGGATACATTATTCATGAACTGATGAAGGGTCATGGTGAAAGAAGGATTTGATCTCAACTCTGTGTTCATACTAAGAAACAACATATAATTATTTTTTCGGAGGATCACTGGTGAGGAGGGGGCTTCTGAGAAAAGAGTTTGTTGCTAATTGTTCGAATGAAGACCAAGGAGATTCCAAGTTTCCAACTCATGCTTCAGAAGGCCGATTCAAAATCAAGACTTGAAGGRTTGAAGTGCTCTATCTTAGACATACTTGGTCGTTACTATTGTCATTACCTCTGTCTTGGATGAATTTTTGGCAATCGTTGTGATTTTCAAAGTTGATCATTGAGACTCTGTTTCATAATATTTTTGGAACTACAAAGTTCTCTCTCAATTAAAGCTGATTTTTCATTAAAAAGAGAACTTATTGAAACTAGAATTCTTTTTCCTATTAAAACCAATTAGAGGATTTTTTTGCAAACCCTTGTCTCTTTTGGGTTGATTCTTGATCATCCGTTGTAATTAGGGTGTGCCTGTTGTTTTGAATTGAGGTGTGTGCCGTGTTTCCTTTTAAAAAAAGGGAAAAAAGGTCTCCGGGAATCATATAATTTTAGGCCGCTTAGTTGAATTTTACTAAGATGTGTTTCCCTGCCCTCCTTCATAAGAGCTCCCCTCATTTGGAGTCTGTCTTGGGCTGAGTATGTGCTAGTTTTTTGGAAAGGAAATGCGGCTTTTGTGGTAAGATGAGAAGTTATATACAGATGTTTGAGGTTATAAARGGGTGGCTGCTAAAAGCTAGAGCAAAGATTTTAGGAGATGTGTTTCAAGAGCAATGCATGGAACCATTTTGGGGGAGAGAAATCTCAGAGTTTCTGGGGGAGTAAGATCCATTTTTTATTCTTTTAGAAATGGTGTATAGCTTACGATATATCTGTGTTTAAAATACAAGAAATTCTTTTGCACCTATTGCTTATACATTGGAAAGATCTTATTCACTAGTTTTGCTGGCAGGGGCTTCCTTAGGCTGTTCTTTTGTTTCTCGTGTTTATATATATCGTTTCTTATCTTAAAATAAAAAAGAAATTGTGAGTCTCCCTTTTGGAGTTTATGAAAGGGCACCTCCTTCCTCTCTACTAGGCTGGTTCAAGTAGTACATCTTCCATTTCCTCCGTTAACATTTTCCTTGTCAACAATCTTCATGAATGGCAAGTTCCATCCCAATCCTTTTTCACTGTCTACTCACTCACAACAATCTGTTCTTCTTGGAACGCTTTTATTCATTATTGTAAAGTACACTCTTTGTTAAAGAAACTTATCTTTGTTGATTTGATACAGATGTACTTTTTTCATTATTTTATTATTTTTATTAGTTTAACAACATATGAGGTGAGGGTAGGATCAAACCTCCAATCTTTTGATCGATACTATATGTTTTATCCAGTTGAGCTATGCTCTGCTCAGCTTAGCTTGATATGGATATGGATGTACTTGTTTTCCATTTCTTCTGATGCACAGGAAGTGACCTCCATCTCCCTGTGAAATGAATCAGTTATGAGATATTCAATAACTAAGAGTTCTAATGTGATCTAGAATCCAAGTTCATCATTTATGTCTATGCTTTCTGGTATATAGTGCTGAGGCAAAATGATATCTCCTTTTGAACTACCACAGTTCTCTGTTGACTGTTAGTCTTCAGCTTCCTCGAGTTTTGACGTGCATTGCTTACGGTGGAAACACAATATTAGTTCTACCATATTTACCTATGATTTGTGAAAGAGTTGTTTTCCATTTTCTTTCTTTTTAAGTTTTTATCATCGTGACCAGTAATTTTTCTCTGGTTTTTGTTGTAAATTGTTTTCTATCCATCCTTGCAGATGAATTGTGCCCACTTGGAGAATTGCCTACATGAAGCAAGGGAAGAAGCTCAAACACATCTTTGTGCAGCTGACCGTAGGGCTTCAGAGTATAGTGCACTTCGTGCATCAGCTGTGAAAATGCGGGGCCTTTTCGAAAGATTAAGGAGTTGTGTTTATGCTTCGGGCGGAGTTGCCAGTTTTGCTCATTCAATGCGCACGTTAGCGCAATCTTTAGCAAAGTAAGTTAGTTTCGTTTTCTGCACAGTTGCTGGTTTCCGAACCATTGACCTTGCCCACATTGAAATAAATGCACCTTGTTTCTTGTCTTGTATACTGATTTAAAATTTGTTTATATTTTATTGTTATTTTCCCACAAATGAATGAATCTCTCCTGTTTCAAGTTTTTTTCTCTTTTAATATTACATGCATTTTTAAGTGCGCTAGTATTCTAATGGATTCTAGGATGATGAATCTGATCCCAACATATTTGCTTTCTTAGTCCTTCATGCAGCAATATTAACTTTARTTTTGCTATCAAGTAGATAAAGATACGGAACTTAGAAAGCTAATTTCCTGATACTTGAACAAATGACTTCCCTAAAAGGATTTTCGGATATTTTTATTAAGTCCCTAAAAAATCCTCCTACTTGTGAGATAATTCTAGGAAAAACTTTAGAGAGATGGCTGGACTTGTAAATGTAATTCCTCTCTATTTTCCATCTAGTTCTAATTCTGGATTCAGAAGATTTTTCTTGTGTGAGTATCTATTTGATTTATGAAACTAATCTAGAATTCTTTTAGTTCTGGTAGTGACAATGAAAATGATGGTACAATCGAATTCCGCAAATGCATCTGCACCATAGCGGATAGAGTTGGATTTTTGGCCAAACATCGTGAAGAATTACTTGAGAAATACCCAAAGCTTGAAGCTGCTAATGAACAACTTATGAAAGAATTGGAAGAAAAGAAAGAGCTTGTTCAAACTTTGTACGCAAAGCATCAACTCGAGAAACAGGTAAATTTCCTTTATGATAATGGAATAGCATTCCTCTAAAAAATTATGGACGTCTTAAGAACTGTTTATATGATCTACCCTCGGTCATTGTTCAAATATATTGTTGGTTTATGATTGGTTTYGGATTTTACGTTGTCTCGAGCAATTAGCTGAATTGYGGTGTCATTACATTGATCTCTGAAACAGGCAAACAAGGAGAAAATTTCTTTTGGTCGAATGGAAGTCCATGAGATTGCTGCATTTGTTCGGAATGCAGCTGGGCATTATGAGGCAATCAATCGGAACTGTGCGAATTACTACCTATCTGCCGAATCCGTGGCTTTGTTTGCAGACAATCTCCTTACCCGATCTAACTACATTGTTGGGCAGATTGTCCACATTGAACGCCAGACCGTGAAGCCATCACCGCCTTCTCCTCGGCCTGACCACGGTAGGGCGGATCAAACTGATTGTGTGATCTCCGATTCAGGGACTGATAGGTTGACCTTGAATTCAGGTTTATCTTCGAACCCATACAGTCTCCCGGTCGGATGTGAATATTTCATAGTGACCGTAGCGATGTTACCCGATACTGCTATTCATTCTACAGCTTCCTGATCCCTGGCATTCAACAGACTGACATGATGGAAGATCCCAAGTGTACATATCAATAACATCGAAGAACAATTGTTGGGAGGTGAACTTTTCAGTTTTCCTTTTGTACAAATTGATGGTGGAATGAGTCTTTTTTTAACCCCTCACACTCACTTTATACCCATCTCTCTCTTTGTATATATTTAACGGTACAGTGTGGAAACTGTGAATATTATTGCTACTTAGTCCTTAGTTTGACTCTCTACTTGACTTCTATATATATATATATTATAAAGAACTTATGAAGTTTATTAGTTCAAAATGTCAATATTGGAGTTTGTGATAATATGCCTTGCAGCAATCTTATTTTCTCACAGGTCCTCTTTTTAGGTTCTAAAGCTTCAACTTTTGCCTATTTAAGAAGTTGAAAGCTTCTTAATTGTAGGGATTTTGTATCTAGTTTGAATTGGGAGTTGTTTTGAAAAATGATATTTTAATGTTAAGAACAAGAGTTTTGTGAAATTAAATTCAACTAATTACCTTTTAAAGTTCTATTTTTCTTTTTCTAAATGTAGACATATCTTGTAATTATTTTTCGGCAGTGAGTCTTTATAATTTGAACAAGTGTTTGATGTTGTTATCAAATGTTAACAAAGACATTTTTTTTTTGGCTTTAATGCGACAGAGACAATGAGCATGTCAAATGCAAACATTGTTTACACACACACTTATGTAAGGTTCAAATATAATTTTGTCGATTTTAATACTTGGTATTTTAAAATATCCATTTTAATTTTTGTACTTTCAATTTTTGTCTATTTTAATTTTTGTACTTTTGGAAGGTTTGTTTTGGACCCATTATTTTATTTTTTATTTTTAACATAGACTATACTCTCTCTATTTCTTGAGATGTGACATAATTTTATATTAAATGGTTCGTTGTGTATAAGTTAAAATTATCACCTTTTAAAAGTTAAAAATATAGGAATTAAAATGGTCATTTCGAGAATACAGAAAATCAAAATTATCACCTATTATTAATTAAAAATATAAAAATACAATGAATCAAATTAAAAATATGAACATTTTCAAATACAGAGGTGATAGGGGCATTTCAGAGATTCAGTCAAATTAAAAACCAAATTAGAACTAAAATTGGAGGGACTAGGTAGGATCCAAAACGTGCAGCTCATTTTATATATCTCAAAGTTTGTATCAACTCTAAAATAGATTAATTGACCAACGGATATTCAATTTACAACTTATGTAAGACTGACAGTCTCATAACGTTACAGGGGAAAGAATTAAAACAGCTGTAGATGTAGATAAAATGCCTAAATACATCAATTACACATACAGGATTCTTCATCAATATATATTTCAGAATCCCATGAGGATTTTCGTCATCCGCCTTTAAACCGTCCAGTCCCCAGTTTCTGTAACAAGTTACAGAAAGACTTAACTTTCGCTATCTTCTTCTGAGATGTTGAACAAGAACTTTGGGATAGAAGCGATTCGAGGAAGCTGCAACAGCAGTTCACCAAACGAGTCCTTCCTAGTCATACCAACTGCCTGCTTGGTACCCGAGCTATCTTTCACATCATCTGTAAAAGCTTTAACATCACCTCTCAATATGTTACTGACTTTATCGTTCTTCCTGTCATTGGGTCCCTCGCCACGGCTTTCATCATTGAACAGTGAATTCTGAGTCGTGGTATTGGTTGTGTCTTTCTGCAAGAGACAACAGAGAGAATTCACCCTTTTCATGAGAGATTTTTCATCAGAAGTTGTAGATTGATTGTCATTAAGCAGATATTGTGCAATATCCTCTAGAATGTCTTGGTATTCTGGTCCTTGGTTGGCAAATGATGGATTTGCCGCTGTCATCTGTTCCGTAATACAGTGTCCAATATGATTCACGAGATCGCTCATCGACATGGACGGGTGGAGCCCAGGAACTTTCATTTGTTCCCAATTTCTTGGGCTTCTAGAACTACCAACTTCAAAATTTGCACTTGCTTCGGCTGCACAAGATTCCATTTTTTATCAGAAACAAAGGAAGAAGAACGCAGGATACAAACAAACGTGCAACTGATTCCGGGCAGAATCCTAGAAAAAGGTACAACACCAAGATAACAAACACAATTTACAAAGAAAATCAATGACAAGGAATATTTTGACCATTCAACTCATGACGTACACACCGTGTGACTTTTTTGAACTCACAGGACACTTGGCAAGCAGAACAATTTTGCACCAAGAACCTTTGAACTAAAAGACATGCTTTCCTTTTGTCCTTTCAATTAAAGAGCACGGACGAATAAAAACATCATTCAACCATGATAATACACGTAACTCATAAGCAGAAATATGGTATGTAAAAAGCATGTTAATCCTTCACTAAACTCATATGTTTACAGTATCATCTTTCCTTCATATCTTCCCTTTGAAAGCAAAAGATCCATTTAAGTCTTCAGTTGTCAAGCAGGGATGATATGCGATAGCTGAAGAGATTCTCTCTACCGGGCCCCATTTTTTATTACTTCTTAACTTATTCAATAATATTTTAATCAAACAATCAGATAATTACAGAATACAAAAAAAAAGTATGTCAAACATATCCACCAAAATGCACAAAACAACAGCAGTTCCATAAATTGTCACCTGAGCAAGGTGATGGGGCTTCTTGAGAGTGATGTTCTACAGTTGTACAAGTAGAGTCTTGTTGTTCTATCTTCAAGGATGATTGCTGAGTAGATGGTGAGGCACCATCTGTCAGAACAGATACAGTAGATCCTTTACTAGTTTCTGCTTGGTGTTCTGGATCCTCAAAAACAGAAACCCTTCGTTCAAAATATGGTGAATCCAAAACTATCTCTGGCTGTCGGCTTAAGAAGTTAAGACGCATATCACACTGGATTAGCTTTTCAAAGTGCTTGTTCAATAGTCCTTGAGGACATTGCAGAAAATGTTGCCTAACAATCACAAAATTAGATTTTCCATTATGATAATTACCAAATAGTGCTAGACATAT